AATAAAATCATATAGTATTTGTTTCTGTCTGACTTATTTCACTTAGCATGATACCCTCTAAGTCCATCCATGTTGTCACAAATGGCAAGATCCCATTCTTTTTTTATGCTGAGTAATATGCCATTACATACACACACACACACACACACACACACACACACACCACATCTTTATCCCTTCATCTATTGCTGTACACTTAGGTTGCTTCCATATCTTGGCTGTGGTAAGTAATGCTGCTATAAACATAGAGGGTGTGTATATCTTTTTGAATTAGTGTTTTCGTTTTCTTTGGATAAACAGACCCAGAAGTGGTATTACTGGATCTAACGGTACTTAAATGGTCAACAGACTCATGATAAGATGTTCAGCATCACTGATCATCAGGGCAATGCAAATCAAAACCACAATGAGATATCACTTTACACCCGTCAGAATGGCTAAAATCAAAAAGACAAGAAATAACAAGTGTTGGTGAGGACGTGGAGAAATCTGAACCCTCGTGCCCTGCTGGTGGGAACGTAATTCGTGCAGCCCCTCTGGAAAACAGTATGGCAGCTCCTCAAAAACCTAAAAATAGAGGTAACAATCAGCCTTCTTAATGCCTAGATGGGAATGAAGAATGAGAACGGACACACACAAACCCTACTCTGGTCAGTTCAGTCATGTATGAGACCTAAACTGCCAAGTTCGATTCATTCTCTGCAAATAAATCAGGTGGCATTATAAGAGTCACTTTTACAGGCCATTAGAGGCTGGGCAGAAAAATTAGTATCTCTTGTTCTTTTTAGCACATGGGAAGCATAAACAGGACTTCATAAAATAATACCTCCTCTTGGGCGCCTGGGTGGCTCAGTCATTAAGTGTCTGCCTTCGGCTCAGGTCATGATCCCAGGGTCCTGGGATCGAGCCCTGCATCGGGCTCCCTGCTCAGCGGGAAGCCCGCTTCTCCCTTTCCCACTCCCCACCCCCGTTGTGTTCCCTCTCTTGCTGTCTCTCTCTCTCTCTCTCTCTGTCAAAATAAATAAATAAATAAAATCTTTAAAAAAATAATAATACCTCCTCTTTAGTAAACTTGTATTATGAGCCAGTTGCTATGTGGATACCATCTCCTGAGGCACGTATTAATAGTGTCCACTCACAGACGAAGTCTCTGAGGCTCAGAGAGGTTAAGTTACTTGCACAGGATCACACAGCTGGTAGCTAGTCAAACCAGAGTTCTAAATCACGTCTACCTAATGCCAAGGCCCATGCCTTTCCAGCTCATGTACTAACTTTCAAAAAGCTAATCTGAGCACCTGCTGCATCACCAGGGCAGAAATCAGAGCTGGGCCATGATGGGTATCCCTGAGGAATTCAGAGAAGAAATAAAGAAGTATGAAAGTCCGGGTGGCATCTGAATGGGGGTGGGGGGGAAAGGATGGGAGAAGCACGGAGGGTAACTCATTCCCTCTGTAGAAAGCCTCTCTCACTTTGTTCTGAGACTCCAAGGGCAATTGGGCAGGAAGAATGGATTTAAAAGGTAGTTTCTTTCCTCTTAATAGGGGCCTGTCCTTTCCAGAAAGTCAAAGCACTCACAAGAGGCTTCCAGAATATCCTCCCACTGACTGATTTTTACAGTGGCCCTGCTTCTGTTTTCCTGAATATTACTCAGCCATCATCATTCATACAGTTACTGTTTTGATTTCCCCTTGCAAACTTACAAACTGTGTGAGTCCTGTTAATTCTACATTCAAAGAACTCTCTGACTGAGGCAGGTTCCCAGAGCTCAGCTTGTTCAGTTCCATGTCCCCAGAAAAGGAGAAAGCTCTTTGAAACCTGAAAGTATCACAGTGTTATAAAAAAAATACCATGCCTTAGAAACCCATAGTACTTCTCAATTTATAATGCATTTTTGCCTATCCTTACAACCACCTTGTAAGGTTTTAGTATCCCTGTTTTACAAATGACAAAACAGGCTTAGAGAGTCAGTGAGACTCCCCCAAAGCATATAAGGCAAAGTGGGATGTTGACCTGGGTCTCTTAACTTCATAAGCCTGTGCTTTTTCTCACTAGATAAATCATCACACTCATTATTATCAGTCCTGAGAAGAGGTAGTGGGGGATGCTTTCTTCACAATCTCCAAGCCAAGCAACTCTACCTTATTCTAGGGACTGTCCTGGGAACTCACATTCCAAATGACTGGCCTCCTTCCATCTGCTAAGTCACCCATGTGCCTCCTTGTTGCTCAGCTCTGTCTTCCTCTGCTGATGTGGCTGCCTAATGTGGGGGGTGCCCCTGGCCTGCCTCTTCCCTCTGCTTCCCAGGCTCCTCAGATGGAGTCCAATTGTACTTTAATCTCCTTTTATTGCTCCGCCAACTTGCCCAGGCTCCCCCAGACGTCTCCTTACTTCAGGCAAATGCTCCTGCATTGCTCTGGGACTAGTCTAATCCTTTTCTCCCTTTTTACATGCTTATGCTTTAATTTACAGCAGCAGTAGAAAAAAAAATAAATAAGCAAACAAAGAAATTCCTTCTGTTTTCCATTTTGCGGGGTAGCGCCAGGGAGGGGGCGGGAGGCGGGCTTCTGGGGCGCTGGTTGGGTTCTATTTTTGGATCTGAGTACTGCTTACACAGGTGTGCTCACTTGGAAAACGTTCCCTAGGCTGTGCACCTATGATCTGTGTGGTCTTCTAAATGCATGCTAGAATTCAAGTACAAATTCCAGCAATGGAGCGGGTAGTTTTGTGGCGGTGGTGGCACTGAATGAGGGAATGCTGAATGGCTCTCTGGCAAGCCTGTTATGGTGGGACACCCTACACCAGAAAAGAAGGTACACTCAATTCCTCTAAGATGTCCCTACCCTGAGAGCAAAGGCCTCAGGATGCTTCAGGGTTAACAACCCCACAGCGGCCCCAAGAAAAGGCTGTTCATAAAAACCTATGGCTGGAAATGAAGAAGGATCATAGGGTCTGAGGCTATCTCTTTGGACAGGCATCTTCTCGACCTCGCAGGCCATTTCAGGAGATCTGGTCCCTCAATCCAGGGAGGGACACTGCACCATCTCCTAGGTCACCCTATCACACATGCTGACCGAGAAAGTCATAACTACTCGGGAACCTTTCTCATTTGAAGATTTAAGAGTCAAATCTGTAGAGGCTGTATTCTGCTTCCTAACTTAGCAAGGATCTTAAAATTAATGGACATCTGCCTTACATCCTCTAAATAGGTAACTTTCAAGGATGGATGTAAATACATAAGTGAACAGTCATTAACTGGCATGTCCATCCCCAGAGCAGTCCGTAAGTCTGAAATGACTCACTTTTTTCTGGACAGGCCAAATCTCAAATCTCCAAGTATGTGGATATGCTGTTCCTTAACCCAGAATGCTCTTCTTTTCTTTATCTAGAAAAAAACCCTACCCTCCTATTAGGGCATAGCCTAAAGGCCCCTTCTTTGGTGAAGCCTTTCTTGCCTGCTCCAGGATCTAGAGCATTTTATACACATATCTAATAGAATTTACCACTTTGCACTACAATAAGTACTTTGAGTTTTTCCAAGGCAGGCTTTGTTTCTTATTCCTATGTTAATCCCTAATGCCTGGTCCAGTCCCTGCTACACAAGAGGTGCTCAAAAGCACGTCGACATGGGCCACTGAGTTAAGTGCTCTTGACATCTCATGCATTTATAAAATAAAATAAACCCCTTCTCTGAATGATTGTTTCTAACAGCTCTATTTGTAACAGCCAAACACAGGAAGAAACCAAAATGTCTCTCAATAGGTGGACGGTTAAGCCAACTGTGGTACATCTACACCGAGAAATACGACTCAGCCATAAAAAGGAGCAAACTATTGATTCAGGCAACAATTCGGATGGTCTCAAGGGCATTACACTGAGTGAGAAAGGTCAGATACTGCATGATTCCATTTATATAACATTCTTAAAATTATAAAAGTGTCAAAATGGAGAATGGATTAGTGGTTACTATGGGTTAGGGATGGTGGGCAGGGGGGCCATCGGTGAGACCATAAAATGGCCTGAGGGAGATCTTTGTGGTGATGAGATGGTGTTGTCCTAGTTCCAGTGGGCTTGATGCACATCTACACAGGATGGACAGACGGGATGTTTTGATATTCTGGTTTTGATATTGTATGACCATTATGTAAGATGTAACTACCGGAGGAAATACAGTTAAAGTTACATGGTACCACTCTGTACTATCTTTGCAACTCCTGTGAATCTACAATCATTTCAAGTAAAGAGTCATAACATTTTTTTTTGGAAAAAAAAAAACAACAACAGTTCTCCGAGGTTCTTTCTATTCTCTGAGTGTGTATCCTTCACAATGACCATTCCCATTTCTTAATATGTTACAGCTTCAAAATGCTTCCATGGAGATTAAACTATGCCATTTCAAAATGACTGCAATTCTACAACACATGTGCTCTTATCCCCATTTTACAGATAGGGAAACTGAGGCTCAGGGCTCGTTGAAGGGTACACAGTTGGTGTGTGGCAAAGCTGGTGCTCCAACCTGACTCAATACAATTTCTATAAACCGGTTTTCTCATCTGCAAAATGAGGGGATTCAGCCACAACAGCCCCTGTAGATGCTTCCAGTTCTAATACCGTATGACATGTGTACTTTTGTGCCCTAGCTGTCCTACTTCTGAGTTAGCATAAGGGTCTGGCAATGTGGCGACTGGACGGCAGGCCAGTAACTGGACCTACAGAGGAGACACATCCATCAGAGGAATTAGTGCTAGGTAGCCGGTGGCATTTGGATGGAGGCATTAGACTCCCCAAATTCCCATCCTCCCAAGGCTAAGAATTGTTGAGATGAGACTCCCAGTCGCTCCTGGACTTCCATGTTTCTAGAATGCCCTGCCTCTCGGGTTGACTTCTGTGCCTCTCCTTTGATGTCCCCCACTCCCCATCTCCCAAGCTTCATTCCATCACACCCCACTGACCCTAGTTATTCATACTCTACGCCAAGGAGGTGAGCTGCGAAAATGTCTTACCAGATTAGTGAAGATGTATGTGTAATAGGCCGACACCATCCCTAGTTCAGCTGCCTGCAAAGGGAAGAGAGGGAGATTAGACAGAAAACAAAAACTCCCTGAAAGTGAATGAGCAGTGAGGGTTCCAAGCGTCCGTCATTTGTCTGACCCACTACCCTTCAGTTCTTACCCTGCCCTTGGCTTGGAGGATGGAGAACAGAAACACTGGCCTCTAGAGTAGGGTGTCTCCACTGCCACCCTGCTCTGTACCCCTGCAGTGACATTCGTAGTATGCAGTAGAAGCTGATGTTCTCATGCACAACACATTCCCATGGACATAACCAGATATTATGGAAACCAAAATGACTTTCAAGGAAATGAAGCAAATAATAAACCGAACGAAAATCATTATCTCCCAAACTATTAGCGATCACAGTGGCTACCATGTACCCACTGTTTAGCATGGGCCAGGTACTAGAAAGCATTTCACTTGGGTTAAGTCGATGAGGTAGGGCTATCATTCCTCCTCTATCCACCCCCATCTGACAGCTGAAGAATCTTGAAACATCAAAAGGCTTTGTAACTTGCACAAGATCACGTCTCCTAAGTGGGAAAAGATGAGATTAAAGCCAGGCAGCCTAATTTCAGTCCTTTCAACCTAACTATCCTCTCCCCGGAGGACCGTGCTGTTGATGGAAGTCCTGACAGCTCTCTTAGGGGCCGAGGCAGAGACAGGAGGGTCTGCGGGTTACGGGCGAGTCCCACATTAATGCAGCCCCTGTCAAAGGTGAGCGAGTGAGACTCATCCGAGTCTCTGAATCTGCAGGAATGTAGGAAACAAGTAAGTCATTTGCAAACTTCAGTCCTTTATTAGTAGTAAGGAACAAGTTGCCAGTGACATGCCTCACCCTCGATCACAGCACACCTGCGTGTCATCATCCCATGGTTGGGAGGCCGCAACATCAGAATGGCCTCCCTCTTGTCCGATCTTTGTAGCTATCACAGACACCCCTCACCAACCTCCCTTATCGGTGTGCCCAACTTTAAGCGTGACAGGTGCTACAGACACGGACACGTAAATCAGGTAAGTGACGAGCCCAGCTCTCCCCAGGGCCCTCGTGTCTTCTGACAGGCAGATTTTCATCATGCACCCTGCAGCACCAGGGCCCCCGGGAAACCACTTTTGTCCCGCCTGTTGAGGTGCATGAGGGGAAAACAAGGCCAGGGGTGACTACATTTTCCTCTTACAAAGTGTTTACCTCTCAAGGAGCTCCAATAATTTGGTGAGCATTCTTACAGGAACCCTCACAGGCTCCTTGAAGGGCAGTCTGGGGTCCTTCTATTGCCACCATTGCGATGGAAACCGAAGTACAAGAGGGCTCTAGGCCTGGGGCAAGGGATACGGGGGGCTCGAGGGCTCCCTTCTTCCTCCAGGCAAAACTACATTTCCTCCTCCACTTCCAAGAGGCTGGTACGGCCTGCTGCCCAGCCCCTCCCTTCCCTGCACGCTCAGCACCATCCACAGAAAAGTGCCAGGGCCTGTCACCACTGCCTAGACAGGTGGGAGCCCCAGTTAGCCTGGTTACAGGGATGGGCTGGGGCCAGGGGGTGGGGAGAGGGCACCGTCACATGGTTAAGACTCATTTGTGAAATCTGCTGCCCAAAGATAAAAGACAAGAGATCCTTGGTTTTTTAAGACCTGAATTCTGGGTAAACACGAAGTTTGTTGCTGGAACAGCTGCTCAATAAAGTAGGGGATTACCCTGCAAATCCTTCTGAAATCGAGAGACCGCAGAGCGCTGCCAAGCTCCAGGGCCAGGCTCACATGGGCACGGTGAGTCTCCCGGAAGCTCCGTGGGCTCTCTGCTCACACTGCTTCCCACACTGAGTCCATCCTCCCTGGGGCGCTCCCAAGGCTGTGCTGTTAACCCCAGCAAGGATGAGCCTGCAGCCTGAGTCCAGGGCCTGATGCAGGGCCTGCATGCTGGGGGCACTAGGAAGTCAAATGGGAACAAAGGGAGCCGGTTTCCAAAGCCTCGCTGGTCAGTGATGGGCTGGGTGCTGAGGTCACAGGGGCTGGGGCCAATAGGTCGTCTCAGGAAACCCTGCTACTGTCCACCCAGCAGAAACACTTGCTAATAATCATCATTACAGGGAGAATTTTCTTCAAAAGCACAGCCATTAAAAACAACAACAAAAAAGTGTTGTTAATGAAAATACCCAGTATTGGCAAGGGTGCTCTAACACCGCTATTCGTTGCTGGTGGGAGTATAAATTGTTATGGCCTTTTTCAAAGGCAATCTGGCCAATCATATCAAAATCCTTAAAAGCATACATATCTTTAACTGAGTAATTTCACTTCCGGAGATTTATGCTAAGAAAATATTCATCACTGTGCATAAAGATTTATGTACAAAGATGTGCATCCTGCATTGTTTATTATAGCAAAAGATTGAAAACAACCTGTATCTCCAACAATAAAGGGATGGTTAAATAAATTATGACATATCCATATGTTAAGAAATGATGTAGCCATTAAAGTAGATAGATTGTAGATTGTAGACAAATATGAATTGACATAAGCAAAATGCGGGACATATAATTAAGTGAAAAAAAAAAGGTTACAAAAGAGTACGTGCAGGGTGATAATAATTTTGAAAAGAAACAAACGTGTCTATAAAGGCAAAAAGGATAGACATCAAAATTTCACAGTGCCTGTCTCCGGGTGATGGAATGTCTTTCTTTTCCATGTGTATCTGTAAGATTTTTCTATCATGTCCCAAAGTAAAGGCTTATAAGAAAGAAAGAAGAAGCTATAATGATTTTTATTTTCTTCTTTGTACTTCTCTGTACTTTCCAAAATTTCAACAAGAGACGTATTATTTTTTCCCCAAAAAGAGCCCAACCACATATGCTGGGAGCCATGAAATATTCCTGAGGTTATTACATTATTATTATAAGGGCTGCTCCCAAAAGGCTTCCACCTGGGGGCTGCTCAGGCAGGCTCCGGCTACCACAGGGGGCACTATGCATTCTGTCTGCCCTCTGCAAGGGGCTTTGCGGGAGACCATTATCTTCCTCCCCGCCCCTCATCTTCCCCGGGGACTCCTCAGCCTATCTCTCTGAGGCACTGAAACTTAGAGGATCTCTTCCATCCTTGATGACTTCATTGATCACAGGCCCAGACACAAGACAAGCGAAAAAGAAAATTTCCATTTGAGTGTGTGTGTGAGTGGAGTATATGCACCCAGTCAGACGTGGGTTTGGAGCTGTGGAGAATTACCATGGCAACGGGCTGGAGGGACAGCCCTCGGTACTCAGAGAACTCATTCAAATCTCTTCTTAACTCCCAGACAAAAACTAGCTGGGGAGGGGTGCTGTGGGGAGGAGGAGGGAGAGACAATCATCCGAGTGTCTGCTTCGCTCCTCACAGCTTGGCAGAGGTTAACAAGGAGCCTCGTCCCACATTTAAAGGCAACCTGGAAGATGGCGGGTTGCATTTAAATGTGCAACTAGAATGGCATTACAAGAGGCCCATGTGCCTGGAGGGGCTGGGGGTACTGAGGGGAGCCACAGAGGAGCCTGCAAGCGGGGTCCATCTATCTGGAATTGCAAGCCTAGCTCAGCCACCAGGCCAGGAGCTGGTGCCAGGAGACTCCAAGCCTGCCCAGCTGTCTCCTACTGTTTCTCCAGCGTGGACCCCTCCTACGCCCTGCTCAGCCACACCTGACTTTCTGATCCCTGTATTCTGGGGGTAGAAGGAGCTGCTGATTGGCTATCAGAGACAATAGGTACCCGTTCAGCTCTGCTCACTAGCGGGGCCTCGGACAAAGCCATTCATCTCCCCGAGTCTCAGTTTCTTCACCTGGCCAGGGAAGATGGGGTACCTGCCCCATTTCGTCATTGAGAGGATCAGGCTGGGGAGTCACGTGGCAGAGCTTTAGAGCTTTGTAAACTAGTACACCGTACGGGGATGACACAGAGGGCTGATGCTCAGCTGTATATGCTGACGGGACTGCCCTGGTTGTCCAAACATGGAAATGCTTCTATACCCCTCAGCACAGAGCCTCAGCCTCAAGCCCACCAAGTGCCCTGTGGGAACCCACAGACCCTGGTGGGGAGGGTTTTGGCTTGGGGCTGTCCGGCTGCACCCAGAGTTAATACTTCTAACCACATCACCCTCATCTTGCCTTTCCTTTCCGGCGACACCCAAGGCAAGGAGGGAGCGGCAGACCAGCTCAGGGGGAGGGAGGAGGGAGAAGGATGCTCTGGGCCCACCGCGCACCCACCCCCGGGTCCCACCTTCAGGAGGATGGTGTGGGACATGGAGGCGTTGGCATGGATGATGATGGTGGCGGTCTTGTCGTCCCGGATCTCCTTGAGGAGTGGGGTGGGGTCCCGGGTGTCATCCAGCATCCGGACCGAGAGCGTGTCCTTGGAGATAAGGAATTGCCGGAGCAGCTTCTCCAGGTTTAAAAGGCCTGGAGGAGAGAGAGGATGAAGCCCCTGAGGGTCCACAGTGCTTCCTTGGGAGACATGGGCGCAAAGGCCGGATGAGCGCTGCCCTAGGCCAGAGGCAGGGCCATGGGTCTGACCCCACTGCTGGTGCTAGGCAACAGCACCTTGACCCAAGCAAGTTTCTCAACCTCTATGGGCTTCTGTATTCCCATCTTCAATCTTTTTTTAAAAAAAAAAAGATTTTATTTATTTATTTATTTGAGAGAGAATGAGAGAGCATGAGAGGGGGGAGGGTCAGAGGGAGAAGCAGACTCCTTGCTGAGCGGGGAGCCCGATGCGGGACTCGTTCCCGGGACTCCAGGATCATGACCTGAGCCGAAGGCAGTCGCCTAACCAACTGAGCCACCCAGTGCCCTGTATTCCCATCTTCAGTAAAAAGAACGTTCCTCTATTTTTAACTTTTTGAGGAACCTCCACATTGTTTTCCAAAGTGGCTGCATCAGCTTGCATTCCCACCAACAGTGTAAGAGGGTTCCCCTTTCTCCACATCCTCGCCAACATTTGTTGTTTCCTGTCTCGTCAATTTTAGCCATTCTAACTGGTGTGAGGTGGTATCTCAATGCGGGTTAAAAATAGAGCTACCCTATGACCCAGCAATTGCACTACTGGGTATTGACCCCAAAGATACAGAGGTAGTGAAAAGAAGGGCCACATGAACCCCAATGTTCATAGCAGCAATGTCCATAATAGCCAAACTGTGGAAGGAGCCGAGATGCCCTTCAACAGATGAATGGATAAAGCAGATGAGGTACACATACACAATGGAATATTACCCAGCCATCAGAAAGGATGAATACCTACCATTTGCATCGACATGGATGGAACTGGAGGGTTTATGCTAAGTGAAATAAGTCAAGCAGAGAAAGTCAATTATCATATGGTTTCACTCATATGTGGAATGTAAGAAACAGCACAGAGGATCATAGGGGAAGGGAGGGAAAAAACGAAGGGGGGGAAATCGGAGGGGGAGACGAACCATGAGAGACGATGGACTCTGAGAAACAAACTGGGGGTTCTAGAGGGGAGGGGGGCCGGGGGATGGGTGAGCCCGGTGATGGGTATTAAAGACGGCACGTTCTGCGTGGAGTACTGGGTGTTCTGCACAAACAATCAATCATGGAACACTACATCCAAAACTAATGATGTACCGTATGGTGCCTAACATAACATTAAAAAAAAAAAAAAAAAGAATGTTCCTAAGCCCCCGCAGTCTCCCCCAACTTCCTCAGGAATGCTCTTTTAAAGAGAGATTGCAGTCCCTTGAGTGGGATGAGAGGATCCCTACTCCTCCCCACAGCACTGCCCCGTGGCCAAGACCTGGGTTCGGAGGCGAGCAGGCCCGTTCTTTCCCCGCCTAACTTGGCCACTTACGCACCAAGTGACCTTTTCATGTGGCTGGGGCTCTTGGCCTCAGTTCCCTAATCTGAGAACCAAGAATAAGAGCAGCCAGCTCCCAGGACCATGTTGACGATTAAATGAAGTACTTAGGCTGGTGCCTCGCCCATCGCAAGTGCCCACAAATGTTACCTCTAGCTCTACGAGAGCCGGGCCTTTGTATTCCTAGAGGATGGTGGAGAGCAGTTCCCTCAAGATCCCAAGACCCAGGAAACAGTTCTCACAAAACCCTTTGAACTCCTCAGAGCATAGTGGCTGCATTAAGACAAGGTATTATTAGGATTATAAGAGGACAGGCTTTGAACGGCACTCCAACAGGCAACAATGCAGGCCTGGAACAAAACGAAAACATGGGAGTGCGAGCGAAGGCCTCTCCCCTCCTCCCCCCAGCTAGCTGCTGTCTAGGAGCAGGGTGGGAGGAGGGTTTCCAGAATGATGCCACTGAGACACAGGGGTCTTAATCCAGCTTTGCCTCCGACAAGGCAGCTGAGGAAGAGGGTGGGGCTGGTGGGGGAGGGGTGGGGTCTCCTGGGAAGAGGCGGTCTCAACTCCAGTGGAAAGAAAAGTACAGGCATTTGTTCCCAGAAGCAACGACAAGAGTTACGTTTATTGATTCCTTATTGTGTTCCAGATAATGAGCTAAATATTCCACATGGCTTGTCTAAGTCCTCACAACAATCCTACAACACATTTTAATCTCACACACGGAGGGGAACATGTGACAGGGAGATGAGTAGCTCCCTGACATGGCTCTGCACATAGAAGGCAAGGGAACAGTTGGCTTTCTAATCCAAGACCCCCGTGCTCCGGTTCCTGCCCCAGCTATAGGATAGTCACTGCAGGGATGTCTTCAAAGTGACCCCAGACTCCTCCCTGCACAGGTTCCTCACCCTCCTGACCTTTGAGTGATGTGGGAAACAAAGGCAGAAGAGAAATTATTAAATTTACTTACTACCTAGAGCCCACTGACAAGTCCTTGCAACAGGCAGAGTGACCTTCCTCTAGGGACCCAACTACCTCGATGTTGACACTTTGCTAAGGGCAAAAGGCAATCCTAGTCTGACCCACTCCCCTTCCCCGCCAACCCCCAAGAGCCTGTGAGTCTACTTTAACATAAAAATTTCTTTAGAAATTTCCTTTATCTCTAAACCCCCAAGAAACATGTTAGCAATCACCCCCCTCCAAGCATATGGCCCATCCATCTACATCTGAAGGGTCTCATGACTAAGGTTTTATTAGATGGTAATAAATGACATTTCCTGACAACAGCTAGCCCCTTCAAGGTCCTGGAAACCTTGCTCCCAAATTCCTTAGAGACTTACGCTATCCCTAACTGCCTCCCAACTTGAAAGTATACAACGGGCCCCTCCTCATGACCCCCTGCAGCTCTTCCTGCCCACGGGTCCTGTTCCCGTGCTTTAATAAAACCCACCTTTTTGCACCAAAGACTCTCAAGAATTCATTCTTGCTGTCGGCTTTGAACTCTAACATCTTTCCTACATCATTGAAGATGAAAAGGTGAGAGAGAGGGCTCTGAAGGGCATCGCAGCCACCTCCCTTGATTTGTAGAGATGCTAAGACTTGCCTTGTCACACAAGGACACTGCTGGGACCAGGGTTCTACCTTCTCATCTCCAGCCAGCCGTCCTCCCGTGAGACCAGATGCCTCTCAGGCCACAAGCAGCAAGGGCCGCGGGCACAGAGCCTAGGAGGGGCCGGGGGGGGGGGCGGCGTGCATCTCTGGACTTGGGGAGAAAAACCCACACCGGGTGTGTTTTCTAACAAGGAAAAGGTAACAGGGTGGAGCCCAGGGGCCCGGCACGATAAAGACAGGAGCTCTGGGAGGGTCCTGCCAACCCCCATCCTCCGGTCATGGGTCCCAACAAGGTGGTCCGGGAAGCTGGCGGCCGCAGCCGGGAGGGGATAACCCTGGGAGGGGCTGTCATTCAAGAGCCTTCAGAGCCCACTGGTCTCTCCTTCCTTCACCCACAGGACCTCAAAGGAGACTTGTAAATCTCACCCCTCTATCTGTGCCCCCTGCAGCTCCTCTCCACCGCCCCCATCAGGAGGGGCAATGATGCTGCTCAGGCACTTCCTGCCAACCCTGATTTGCAGAAGATCTGGATTCAAGCTCAGGGTCAGCCCTCCCCAGCTGTGTGACCTTGAGAAGTCACCTAACCTCTCAGAGGCTCCATTCTTCATCTGTAAAATGGGTATAACTCACAGAGCTGTTATGTGGAAACATGCTAGGAACTGGGACGTATGGTTTCAGCCTTCCTCCTTCTGCATTTACTCATCCCCACAACAGCTCAAAGGGCAGGTGTGGCTCGCCGAGGCAGAACAAAAAGGGACCAAAGTACAAGTCTGTTCAACCGACACTGTGTGCGCCCTAAGTGCCAGGTGCTGGGCTGCCAAGACATCGGCAGAGAAGGTAGATCAGATACAGACCCTGCCCTCTGGGAGCTTAAGAGTGTGGGGACTTGCAACTAAGTCTACGACAAAGTTCAAATCAAACCCATATTTTGTTTAAGGGCCTAAATCATCTGGGTTTCCATGGGGGCAGCCTCATTTAGGTCTATACGTAAAATGGAGAGAATATTCACAGCATCTTCCTCAGAGATGACATGAAAAGCAAAGTCCGACTTGCATAAAGGTCGGAGCACCTGACCCCAAAACACTGTGAGAAGGTCAGGGGAGGCCACAGGAGCTGGTGTTCCTGGAGTGCTGGCCATCTCTTCGGCTCAAGAAAAGATCTGCCAAGGCGTGCTATGGGGGAAGGAGCACTGCAGCTGGAGGGGTGAGGGAGGGGTGGCCGAAGACAATGCCACAGGTCCTGGAACGTAGCAGGGAGAGTCACTAGAGCCTGGCTGGGAAAGAGGCCAAATCCTCTGGGATCCTTCAGAGGGGCAGTGAAGTTCAGCGGGACGAGACAGGGAAGCTTGGAGGATGGCAGGATTAGGCACAGCATGGAGATGCCTGGGCCCAGGGACTGTTCATCCCTTTAAAATTGGCAGGTGCCCTGCACTCTCAGGGAAGAACCTCCCAGATGTCAGATAAATTGGGGCCCCTGCTCCGATCAATGCCTGGTGTACCCCATTTGACTGACCTGTGGGGTGCTCTGCTGCCCTTTAAACAAGGAAACAGCATCCCCATCGTATCCAGCATACACTCTTGCGTGTGCTGAAAGGCAGGGTGTGGTTGGGGAGGGAAGAAGGGCACAAGTCGTCGGGGCAGGGTGGAGGGGGGGAGTCTGCATGCCACCCAGGATCTCCTATCAGTCACTCCTTTCCCAGCCTGGACCGCACCTGGAGCAGCGAACAGCACAGTGTATAAGGTGAGCCCCAGGTGAGTCCCAGCTCTAGCGCTGCCGGGATTGGCTGGTGGGGGCGACTCCCTCCACCCCTCTGCCCCGCGGTGACCTTATCTGTGAAGAAAGGACAACTACTACTGCACAGGGTTAGTACAAAGAGATCAAGGAAGCAGGACAACGTCTGTCTCCTAGAAGATGCTTCGCAAATCTGCTTTCTGTTCACCCCCTCCCCTCCCCACTCAGATCCTAACTGTCCTTC